AGCCATTTGGCTGCTCTCCGGGTTTTAAAGGTAGAAAAGCCAAATGGCTGCTCTCCGGGGATTTAATTAAATTGTTTCTGGTTAATTTCTGTTGGTAATGTTTGAAATAAATATAACAATTTAGGAAGTATATTAATTTTAATTGAATCTATTCTCGAATATAAACTTAAATATGGAATTAGATTCCATCTCGCTATATCTTCCTTAATTGTCTTTTGTATTGGTAAGTAATTTCGTTCTAATAGTTCTGCAAGATCCTTAGGTATTATGACTCCAAGATATTTAAAGCACTCTGTTTGCCATGCTAATTGGTACTTACTTTTAATTTCTTCTGATGGAATATAGTTGTACTTAAGCAATTGTGTTTAAGTTTTAAGTCAAATTCAGTAACCATGTGCTCCCCAGCCTCGTGTATGGGAGCCGCTCATACCACCCAGAGTCAGAACTACTCCACCGTCAAACCTATGGCACTCCACACCCACTTCAAGGCTATGCAGCAAGTCATCACCCAGGGAGCTCAAGACGGGGTGGAGCTTGGGGTGGACGAACACTAGGTAAGGATTTGGTTGTGCATTGTATAAATGCAAGTTTTAAATATTATATTCGAGTGAACTATACAGTGTTATTTCTATCATCATATGAACAAAACTGTAAATAGAAATAACCCACACAAAAAGAAACGTGAAATAAATGTCTGAACTGGAAAGGGAGGGGAAGTAATTATAGGATATTGTAGGAGGGAAGTGTGTATTGTAGGATCTTTACCTTATAATATAACATGCATTGAGGTGACCATTGTTGTGATTTTGCACTATATAAATAAAATTGAATTGAAAATTGAAATATATTGAACTGATATACAAACTATAACGTACAAATGCAGAGTGGTTTATATAAATAAATCTTAGTATTTTATGGTATGTTACAGTTTTGATATGACTCCTATATTTTGACTACCATATTGGATTTATTGTTTTGATTCCGTCCATAGGGTATAGTGTTTTTTTTTCAGCACACAGATGGTAGGCACTAAGAAGGTAGACTACTAGACAGATTGGACTAGGACTATAAGGAACAAAGGAGTACAAATGTACATGCCAAACGGAAAAGGAGAAAAAAATCAAACTGTTTTCTTTCTTTGGAATAAAAAACAAAACTCAAGGGCAAAAGATGGAGATAGAGAAGTAGTATTATTTTCTAAAAGGTGAAGAAAAGCAGGCTATGTATGGAAATACAAATTCATAACCATATCTGTGTAATGCTTCTCAGTTTTATTTTACAACAGCTAAGCTCCATGGCCTATGTTGTATATCCCACAAAAATCAGTAATCAGTACACTGTTTTTGATATTTTTCGGTTTTAAATCTCGCTGCAATTAGCCGTAAATTGTATCTCACAAACACTGTATGCTTGTGTCACAAACACAAGAAATTCAAATCAGTTTGGGTGTTTAAATAGTCTCTGATAGGTTTGTAGCTTGAACCTATTCGCTGGAACGTTAAGGACAATCTGCTACGCAGCAAAAAGCAAGACCCAAGGCACCAAAGTTCTTTCTGTTACTCATACATGAGGGAGACCTGCCTGGAGCCAAGTGTCGTTCCACCACTTGACCTCCGTCAGACTCTCAGCCAGGCTCCCCATAGCACTCCTTTTATTGTGGTTACATGAATATGCATAGGGTCATTAACATATGGTACACATGTGAACAAAGAATACTGTGTGTGTGTGTGTGTGTGTGTGTGATTTGTGTGAGGTCAAGATGTGACCCTGTGAAGACTCCCCAAAGCTGGTGCCAGGAGTCCAATGGGTCCATCTAAACAAAAGGCTCTTCTACTTAAAGAAATATACGTGTGTTTGCTATACCATAAATCAATAAGGAGAAGATAGGATCTCTCCCATGTTTCCAGGCTGTGGGTGTGCATTCTAGTATGGAATACACACCAAGGCTTTGTAGTCTGTTAAAGATCACACAGCCTACCACTACACAACTGATTATAAACCTCTAAGCATACATGGTTAAATATTTCTAAGCATAAATGACAATCAACAATACAAAACCTATCAGTCTCCTCCTTGTATTTTGGGCCTTGAGAAAGACAGTTTTCTGCAGAGTTCTCACATCTTCAAACATAGCATAATTGGTATGGCCCGGATCTGACCCACACAATGTGCTTACACATGGCCCACATACCGCAAAGAATGATGGTCCTTTGGTCGCCCAGATCTGGTCTGCCAGAGGTGGCCCACACATGAGCCAGCACAAGGCCAGTTGCAGAACAGTTTTTGAGCTCTGGCCCCAGATATCAGCCTAATGTGTACCTTAATCAAGCCATGTAATAACAACATGTGCTGGAACATAATAGTGCAAAAGTAACATGAATGGACTGATTCTTCTATAGCACTTTTCTACTCTCCCAGATTACTCAAAGTGCTCTATACAAAATGCCACATTCACCCAACCACACACTTTATCTAAACTGAGTGCTTCCTAACTTTATTCATAGTCTTGACTTGCAGACTGGAGGAGCCAGGGATCAAACCACTAACCTTCCGATCAGTAGGTGACCTGCTCTGCCTCCTGAGCTACAGCCACCCGGTGGTAAACATGAGTAAACCCTCACTAGGTTTTGGATAAAGTGTACACTCACAAACCTGTCAAACCTGCATTTGAAACATTGGCTACCGTAGCAGTATAGTATTGCAACAAGGCATTTGGGTCTTCTAACTAAAATGGGAAAATAGGAACATAAATAGTGCCATCATTGCCAGACCTGGCCCACATCTGGTTGACATACACCCTACCATGACATCAGTCAGTCAGAAGTGCCAGTGTGACGCCAGATCTGGGCCAGACCTGTTTTCTATAAGCCTTGGCCACATAAACCAAACCACAATCAAGCCAGATGTGGCAAGCCATCACATAGACAGTGGCATCATTGCCAGGCCTGGCCCATATCTGGATGACATATGTCTTTACATGCCAGAAGTCAGCCAGCAGTGCCGACTTGACACCAGATCCGGGTCAGACCTGCTTTCTTTGTGGGTTTTTGTAAATACCATCAGTATTTTTATTTGTATTTTTTTATGCCAAAACCCAGTTTGCTCTTGTGCGATACGTTGGTAACTCAAAGTCTGAAGATTTTCTAAACTGTTTATATCATCTATGATATCAAGTAACTGAGGTTTGTATTTTGTTGCAAGGTCTGTCAGGGCTGTTTGACTCCCGTCTCCATCATGCCAGCCCCTCAGGTCCCGACCCCTCTGTCATGAATCTGATTTCAGTTCTGGATTCACGGCCTCCACAGCCCTCACCCTCTGCTTCCTCCCTTCTCTCTCAGTTCCGCACATCCTCTTGGCAGACTGGTGAGTGTCAGCCTGTTGTAGGAACAACATTTAAAAAAAAATAAAAACAAACTATTGTCAGTCCTAGTTCTTAAACTTAAAATAAAACGAAGTCAAATTTCAGTCCTAAAAGTATTTTCACTGATTCTATAAGCAAAAAGTAAAATTTCTGTAGTCTCAAAATAAAAGTAAAACAAATGACAATTTTTCAAAAATGAACTTTTGAAAGAAGTTCATTTTTTCAATGACTTAGACTGACCAACACTTTCTATGTAATATTGTGTCCTGTAGCCATGCATACAGCGGCCCCAACGGACCTCTTTATTTCAGGGGCACTTCCAGGTTCAAGCTCCTTTCCCTCCTCCTCAGCCCTTTCTGCATACCAGAATCCTAGCATTTTTTCTGGACGATCATTCACTCCCTCATTATCCCTGCAGGATACAACTACATTTAGCCGAACTTCTAACGGCTTGATATCCCCACATGATCCCTTGGTACATATCAAAAGATCCTCTCAGTCCAGCTTGGGCTTTGATCACTTGCTGTCTTCCCAGAGCACTGCCTTCCGGGGCTCCCAGGAATCTGCAACTCCCCAGACCCAAGACCCTTCCACTTCCTCCAATTGCCACCTGTCCCCTCCCCACTTTAATCTGTTGCCCTCTCAGCTTCATAACTCATCCTCTCAACTATATAATGCCTCGATGTCCTCATCGATGGCAGCCCTGCCACCTGCAGTTCTTCCTGAGCCTCAGCCACTTCCACAGACAGCAATTTCCCGCCATGATAGTGTGATCAAGCATTACCCTCGCTCATCTTCAGCCCACACCACAACCCTACAATCACAATCCTATGCCAGCTCTGGTGGTTCATCTGGCTACCACCAGCTAGTCAGCCATTATCAGCATTCTGGTGTGTCCTGCAGTCCACTGGGGAAACTGAGCCTATCCTCTGACCCCAAGACCTCACCACAGATGGAATCCCAGATATATCAACCTGTCATCCAAACAGCCTATACCTCATCATTATCCAGCTCCTCAACTCCCTCCTCCTCTTCAGCTACTACTAAAGGTGCCAAAAGTTCCTGCTCCACAAGTAACTATTCGTCTTCTTCCTATACCCCACAAACTCCACCACCAACCTCCTCCACCACCTCCTTATCCTCTTCTAGCTCAAAGACCAGAACTATTTCTCTGTCTGCTCCCTCTCTTCAGCAACCCACACCTCAGTCAGCACTAGTACCACCTCTTCTCCCAGTGGTGTCATCATCCCTTGTACAACAAGCAGCAGCCAGTCAATGTCTGTCCACCTATGGCTCTCAATCTGTGACCAAACCTAGCACGAGCTTGCCAAACCAGACCCCTCCCCAGAAACACATTCAGTCGTATTCCCCCAACCTGCCACCATCTACACACATGAATGTGCATTATGATGGCTTCAACTCACCCCATGTCCGGGATTTGAGCACTGGAGCAAGGAGCAGTGGGGGGAAAGACATCATGGGTGTAGGCTCTGGTGAACGCTCCTTCTCTGCAGAGATAATTGCTCAAGACTCAAGTTTTGTCTCAACATCTCTCAGAAAACCACACACTCCATCCACTGAATATGGGAGTGGATCAGCTGGGAGTGGACCTGGTATTCACAGTGTAGTAGGCTCTGCGGTAACTGGGAACGGGGCTGCTGGTAATGAAGGCAGTAGCGCCTATCACCTGACTGAGTCTAGTACATCACCTTCAACCAATTCTACTATCAGTTATTCAGGATTGCACTCTCCTGTAGCTGCTCGACCTGTACAGTCCCCTGGAGGCTCAGGGGCAAATAAATACTTTTCTTCGATCCCAGCTCCTACTTTTATGTCTTCACCACAAGGTTTCCCTGATAACCGACAAGCTCGGAACCAGTTGTACCAGTCAACACCCCCAAACACCAAAACAGAGGCCACAAACATGCTGGGGGCTGAGGAATCCCAAGACGAAGGAAACAGTGAAGATTTCCTTATCCACCACTTACTACGTCCCCAAAGCTCAAATTCCCATTTTTCCCAACATCACCCACATTCTGAGCAACTGTCTCAACCAATCCTTCATGGGGAGAGCAAGGGAATGACACACGATCTTAACAAGACATCAGAAGAGCTCTACCAGCTTCAGAGTGTCATTCGTACCAATAACATCACCAGCAATTCTGGTCTTGGAATGGCAATTAATGATACAGTGAGCTTAGACAGACCATTAGAAATATCACAGAAGAAACAGCAGGCCAGGTCAGACACGATCATGTCAAAGTCAAATACTTCAGGGGTGCGAAGAATATCTGATTCTCATTCTCATGCCATCCACTCGCATCATCAGCAAAATGAGTTAAAGGGTTCTGCGGTCCATTATGGAAGAGGTGATCCCTACATACAGCACCCAAACTCCCAGCATCCTCATAGCACTTCACATGTGTCCACACACTCTCAGCACTACACTCAGCACTCTCAAATCTCCCAGCACTCTCTGCACACTCAGCATACACATCACTCTCAACATTCTCAGCATAGTCATCGTAATTCCCTCCCACAAAGCCATTCTCATATAGAGATTAAGAAGCCTTCAGATGCAAATGACAATGCCTACTATGCACCAGATGTACAGCAAACTCGACAAAGCCATGTCTCTGTCACTCTGATGAATATGTCACCAGACCATCCCAAGCAAACTCACATGTTACAGTCTGTCCCTTCTCACACTATCCAAAACAAGCTGGATTCCCAACAAGCCCCACAGCAGCAACAGAAGCACCACCACCAACAGCAGCAACACCAGCAAGCTATGATGGGTTCAGTTAGAAGAGCAGGGTCTGCTGGGTTGGAATCCCATGTACAGAACCAGTCCTCACAGAGTCTAGATACCCACTACAGTGGAACCCATCCAACATATCAAACACGAGCCAGTCAGAGTTCAGTATCTCCACTACAGATGCTAGATCAATCACTTTCTCAGGCCAATGGTACAGACAGTGGAAAATCTCTGGACAGAAGTGGAGCTGATATGACTGTGACAGGACAGGAAAGAGATAGAGGAGACAGACATACACAACAGCACAGACTTAACACCCACCAGCATCCTCAACAAACAAAATCGGATCTTCATGACTTCCTTTCTGAACAAGATTTGGACTTATACACCCCTTCACACTTGAGCCATCTCAACCAACCTCAGACCCACCCCCACACCCATGCTCTGCAACACACTCAGCACACTCATCATCAACTGTCTGTTACCACTCAGATAACTCATTCACACTTGCAACAGATGACAATACATTTAGCAACACCCCAACAACAGCAATCCCAGGTCACAGATCCTGAAACACAACTCTCACACTCACAGTTAGAGCAGCTCAAACAGCATCAATTTGAGACAGTAAGCCAGACAGATAAAGTAGGACAGACTCAAGCTCAACTGCAGCAATGTGCACCTTTGACCTCAATCTGCTTTCCAGACTGTGTTTTTCCTGAGATGGAGGATCTGTTTTGTTCATCTGAATACAAATCAAGCTGTGCGGGGGCAGGACACAGTGCTCAAGAAAACCTCAGCCAGGGTCACGGACCGACACAAGAGGATATGGAGGCTTTAAAATCAGGAGATGCTGCAGAGGGCTATAATATGGTTGGTCATCAAAGCAATCAAGGATTTGGACAGTACTGCCAAAGACTTTCAAGAACAGGAAATGGTGATCTGCACTTAGACCATGACTGTCTGAAGACTCATGAGCTTCCTTCCACTGTGAATACTGACCAGCTTGGCCTCATCCAATCCCAAACTCCCATTATGGGATTGAATTCAGCAGTTCAAGAGGATAGCTTAGTCAACAAGATGATAGCAACTGTGGGAGCGGATGAAAATTCCAACAGCACTGGTGTAACCTCTCCTATCTTCTGTTCCTCTCGACCCAAAAAACTGCTGAGGACCAGCTCATTTCACTTGCTTAAACAGCGACGTGAGCCACAACCTCAAACAAAGAAAAACTATGCGCAGGAGTATGAATTTTGGGATGACGAAGATAAAGCTGATGTTCCAGCAGATATTCGCCTTAACAATCGCTGGCTTCCTGACTTGCTGCCTGACTTGGTGTCCAGTTGTAGAAAACCTGGTGGGGTTTCTGGAATAAGTGGACTAAGCCCACAAATAGGTGACATGGCCTTTTGCCACCCCTCCAGCTACTCTTCTCTTGGACACCCTTCGCAACCCCCCCCTCACGATGGTCCTAAGAAAAGGGGCAGGAAACCAACTAAACCAAAACGTGAAGGACCTCCTCGGCCACGAGGTCGCCCACGTATACGTCCTCTTCCAGAACCTCCTTACTGTAGGGGCCTGATGGGCTCTGCGGCTGGAGAAAATAGGAGGGGGCGTAGCCGAGGTCGAGGGCGAGGCAGACGGGAAGAAGGAAAAGTGCAAATGCATCGGGATATGAACAAAACACAAACCCTTTCATATAATCACCAGCAACAGTACCAACAGCAACAGTGCAGCCAACATCATCAACAGCAACATCACAGGCAGCAGGCGGATCTCCATCAGCAGCTCCAACAACATCACCACCATCACCAGCAAGAACATGTTTCCTGTCCCCACCCTCAACTGCATCATCAGCAACAACAGCATACATCTCACCAGCCACAGCAAGATCCAGTCAGAACTTTTAAGGTAATGCAGAAAATCTGGTATGTAAATCTGGAATCATGATCCTAAGCAGGGTAAAACCTGTCTTAGCTTGGATTCTTCTTAATAACCTATCTTTTTCTCAGATCAAACTGCCCCTTGCCACTATGTCTCCACCAGAGTCCTTGTTGAGGACAGACTCGCTATCCAGCAGTGAGCCTGTTCTCTCTGAGGGATCGGTGGGGTCGGCACCATCTCTGGGCTTGAGTCCTGGTCCCACTACCACTGTTGACTACAACAGAAATGAGGGGAATCAGACAAAAGACGAGATGATGATACATCAGCAGAGAGCTAAGGAGGTAAAGAAAACTAAGAAGAAAAGAGGCTTCTCATAAAAGCTGCAATAGAAATGTCTGATAAAAGTGTATTTTATCTGCTGCATTATAACATTTTGGAAACAGATGTCTAAAGGTGTCATTCTGCAAATTTGAATGGAAGTTCGCAGTGCGAGGCAGGCCGGAGGTGAAAGTTTTCTCCCCTGAGTCAGATTATATTTTAAGAATGGGGGGACTTTTTTTATGGGAAAGCCAGATGACTAATTCTGTAAACAAAAGAAATTACTGTTTAAGCGAAAACATAATTATCTGAAGAGTGGATTTTGTTTTAGTGAACAAGAAAATAGTTAAAAAAAAAGAGCTCAGAGACATAGGGAGAATAAAATCTGCCATCCTCTGCTTTAAAAAAATAATCACATAACCAGTATGAACCTTTTGTGATTTTTTTGTAGTTTAATTGGTCCATAAATACTTACCGATAGGTTTAGTAGAATAAGCAGGTAACAATATTTTTAAAGAAATGAAGTAGTGGGTAACTTTGAGGTGTTTTACAGAAATGAGACATTCATAACACTGTAAGTAATTTTAATTAGTGTCTAACTTTCTCCATCTTACACTGTAAATATGCTGTATTTGTAGATACAAACGACCTTATGTGTGTACATTTTATATATCAATTTGTTATTGAGTCATTTAATGTTTTCAAAGCTTAATTTAATATTCATTTTCTTTGTGTGCTGACGGCTGTTTGACTATTCCACTATCCTTTTATAATACAACATATATGTTTTATATATAAAAATGTGATGAAGGCCTTTGCCTGTCTAATGAGAGACAGAGAGAGTGAGAACAATAGAGCAAAATTAATTTTTTAAATAAATATTGTTCAACTTCAACTTTCAAAAGCACCATAAGAAAACTACAAAAACCGAACGTTTGTGAATGAAGAAAGACTTCAATAGAAGAATTTTTTTATTTAAATAAAAAAACTGATTAACATAATAATAAACAGTACTTTTATTTATATTTCTCTTTATTTGTACATTTATGTTATTGTCTGCTTCTTTGCTTTTCTTTTTTATAGCCATTCTTTTCTTCTTTGTTTCTTTTTGTCATGAAAATGAATCTGAGGGAGAAAATTCTCTGGCTCTTCTCAACAATGTTGCCCATTATTCTGCTAAAATGCATGGAAATCAAACACTACTTATAATTACTGACAGTATAATTTCTTTCTTCATTCATATAAAAACTGGAATTGTAACTCTTTATTCTAGTATGCCCATTAGTAAGTCTTTGCAGGTAAATTAAATGGCCTACATTAAAAATGTTTTTTTTAAAAACACATTAAAAACTACTTTAAGATGGGGGAATGAGACCTTCAGTTATGAGCCATGTTATAAAGTGAAGTTCAGAATAAACAATGAGCAGAAACAGATTTATCCTTGTAGTCATGTAATATCATTTGTGCTGAGGTTTCAGTGTTGTCTGTGAATGTGTGGGAGAAACAACTGTCACCATGAGTGGAAGCTGACTGCTTTTACATGGCAGTTTCAACTTTGAGTTTCATGCTAGAGTGAAACGAAAGCTAGTTGCCATGGCAATGGGAAGATGCTCTGTATGTACAATCAATATTCTCAGTATAAGGGACGCCTGAAATCTCCCCCAAAATGAAAGTAATTGCACATTTAAGCAACACTCTTATTATTTAGTAAATGTTGTTAGCACTGCAAGTAAAAAAACAGACTAAGTGTTAAAGTGCCGACTTGGCGTCTGTAGGACTCCACCTTCAAAATGGGTGAAAGACAACGACGTTGCAGGACAGTACAGCAAAAACATTGCTGTTTTTCTCGTGTTTAATTTCCTGAGACAATAAGTATTGGTTCAATAACAATACTCATTATAGCTAAACTGGGTATCAAGTTTAACCTTTCTCTGTAATGGTTTGACCTATCCTTTGTTATATATTTATTTACCCTTGTCATTACGGTTTTAACTGTAAAACAGCTGGTGGTGGATGGTTGGAAGAAAGAAACTGACAATTCACTGAATCCTGAAGCCTGGGCTGCTATGCAGAAACTCTCAAATTCAGTAAGTTCCTTTACTCCATTGCATAAATGAGGAAAGCCAGGAGCTTCATATATAATTCATATGTCATCTATTCAAATTCAAGCCTCTGGAAGAAGCATTTCTTCATAAATCAGGTAGTTATAGGCATTTAGACAATACCTGTGAAATAATGTGGCACTGATCCCTGGTAGAGTCTGCAGTGGAACAAAAGAACAACAACATCAACACTATTTTAATTTGTATAATTTGGAAAGAAAGTGGATGAGGCTGATTGACAGCCAGCGTTTTCTGGCTTACAAAACGAAGAGGAGAGCGATGCCTGCCACCAAGGCAGCTGTTGCCACAGTTACTGCATTTTTCAGCACAAGACCTTAGTGCCATCTGCTGGCTGTTAAGCTGTACTACCAAGATCTGTATTTACTGCTAAAGTGGAAAACTCCTTCACAGCTCTTACAAACTTTATTATAATGGAAAAGTTAGATTGTTGTTTAGTCCACATGTAAAAAATTCAGCACAAAGGGTGTCTCTTTATTTGCTATGAGCTATATACGCAATACATGGACAAACATATCGGGTCAATACAATGATTTGAATTCAGCTGTTGTCAGTTACCTGGCCAGTTTGTTTCAGTTGTGAAAGAATGAATTGTTCGAAAGAGTGCAGTGTGCTACAGTAATGGGATGCCACACCTGCAACAGCTTAGCTTGTAAAATGTATTTCTTCTAGATATTTGATAAGCATATGAAGTTGCAGAGTGGGTTCACTGTTTGCTGAAGGGCATATTGTGTAAAAGTCACTCACTGAGGCCTACGCAGCTCTGCCCATGAAAGTAAACTTTGACACAAAATACTCTGTTTTATGACATCATAGCAAACTTGGAGGGTTTGGACTTTATGGATCAAATTACAAATCTGTCATTTACCTTAAAATAAGATAAGATAACCTTTATTAGTCCCACACGTGGGAAATTTGTTGTGTCACAGCAGAAAGTGCACAGTGCAAAGTTACAGTAGCAAAAATTAAGAAAAATAATGGAATTGGATAAGATAATAAGAATAGGATACTATATGCAACTGCATTAAACATTTTAAACAACTGCATTAAACACTATATACAACTGAATTAAATAGTAGGTTGTCAGAAAAAAGTAAAATTGCACCGTATTTCACATGTGTGGATGTGTGTGTTTGGTCATCTGCAAAGTCTTTGTTCTGGAGTCTGACAGCAGTGGGGAGCAAAGATCTGCAGAATCAGATCTGCAGAATCTCTCAAGTTGAAAATGCAGCCACTTAGGTGAACAACTGATGTGTATGGAGGGACACATCAGTGTCCAAAGTAGTGGTTTATGTGCAAGTATACCATCCACACTGACACAAATACAAGAAAACAGCCTTTGAATAGATGTCCACTATAGTCTTTCTAAGTGAATGCTGGCAATTATTATGTCATAACACCATCAGTTATTAGCGTCTGCTTTTTTACAGATTGACGAGAAGGTCTTTGACTTCAAACCAAGCTTCATGGCCTCTTTTTTGGATTTTCTGAAGACAGGTAAAGTACAGCCAGCCCTTGAACCAAGACATGATGGAGGCAACCAAGAAACCTGTTCCTCTATGAGTGGAGGAATTAAATGCTTATCCTCACCATCTCCTCCCCTACCACCAACTTCTCCCCAGCAGCCTCCAGGACAGTTCAGCGATGGCAGCCCTGGTGAAGGGCCAGACCTAACCCTCAGTAGCTGCCAAAGTCCCTGCAAACCTCTGGATGATGAACTGAAAAGAAACCTGGAGACTCTCCCCTCTTTCTCCTCTGATGAGGAGGATTCAGTAAATAAGAACCAGGACTTGCAGAAGAGCATCTCATCTGCAATCTCTGCCCTCTATGACACTCCACACTCACTGGCTGCTGCAGTGGCTTCTGCAGTAGTCAAAGCACAACCCATGCTTTCTCCACCCACGCCACAGGAGCCGTCGCTCAGCCCGCCTCTCAAGACCAATTCTCCCCTCATTTCTAGTATGGAGAGCATAAAAGATGGGGCACTTGCACACACTCAGCATAACACACAAAGTAAACAAAACACACGTGAGGAACAAAAAATGATTTCCACACTGTCGGACATGGAGGGGGTAGGATCTCAGCATGAAAGAGAAGAAGAAAACAGCAAGAAGGAGGAAGGCGAGGAGATGGCAAGCAAAGAAGAAAACATCAGGCATTCACACAATATGTTGCAGGGACCAGCGGAAAAGCAGGAGAGGGAGGATACAGCATCTGACACGCAGATTATGGAGGGCCATGATGGTATTTATATTTGTCCTCTTATTTCCTCTTTAACAGCTTCAGTTTGTAGTTATGTTCTGTGGTGCTCATCTGTGAGATGGCCTCCATTTAACACATGTGTAACTTCAGCTTGGTTGTAGATGTTAGTGTCTCGCTGTTAAAACATTGTCTCCACTGTCAAATTTCTAAAAATGTGTCGTGTCCAAATTCATGGGCTGCATCCTCCTGAGGCCGCATTTGTAGACCAATTATGTCACAAGGCCGTCCAAATTCATAGACTCTTCCAAATACAGCCGACTAATGTGTCCTCCTTTTCCCCGAATTTGAAGGATGGGTCGGGTGTGTCCTTCGTGGCCCACCATATCCCAGAATTCATAGCACGGCTCAGCCAATTCCAGTTTTCAACAATGGCGGCCGCTACTAAGTTTTAAAATTACTCTTATTATTCTTTCTGGGTCACAAAATAAACTTTAAAGATATTTTCAGGCGAGCATGTAGCTGTGTAAACTCCAAATATCTGCTCGGTTTATCAAGACATCACATATTTGCAAAAGTGCTCCGACGTTTTCGGAGACGTCTGCTACCCACCAGCTCGATAGCTGACCAGGAGGTCGAGGGTCACTACAGCTGCCGAGAATGGCAAACTCCCGGCACATCATTTTCAGATCACCGCGGTCTTTCACTACTGAGGTTAAACGCAAGTCACTTATATAACCTAAAATGTTATTTTTTGGCTTTTTCGTGTTTTATTTGTTCCTGAGTAAATCCGTTTGGCTGAGACTAAAGTTATAGTTTTCACACAGCTGAATAAACGTCACACAGAAAACTGAAACAGAAGTGTGAGATGGTCGATAGTTTACTCCAGTGTCCTGTTATATTTTAGATAGCAAGGAGCAGACGGCTGAGCTTATTAAAGTCCACCGAGACAGCGGTGACGCTAATCTGAAGGCTTCCGGTCTACCCGACCTTCTGAGGACCCGGCCCACATAGACCGCGAAGGCGGGTCCTCAGGAGGATGCAGCCCATGAATTTGGACACGACAAAATTCTCTAGATCCGGGGTCGGCAATCTTTCTGATAATGAGTGCCATTTAAAATTTCCTCAGAAGTCAGTGTGCCATATGATTGCATTAGCAATAAATGTAATAACGCTCTATATTAACAGTTCCACACTATATAGAACAACTTTATAGAATTATATTTGTTGACAGATGTTGGCAGCTGTCAGCGAATAGTTATCAGCTATTTTGAAACAAAGAAAAAGACACTTTTTATCCATAACAGCAAATGAACTGTACAACAGAAAATGTAAATGCTATTTATGGTCTCCTCACAACAATGATAAGAAAAATAAACTGAGCCAATATGGCATGTTTGTTAATACAGAGACACATGTTAATGTGATCTCTGGTCTCCCACTCAGAGACACAGGTCTCCCAGTGTCCAGCATTCAGAGGCTACCTGAGGACTCATGTGTGAGAGAATCTGCTCACACAGACATGTAGAGACAAACACCGTCAATAAGGCCTCTGCAATGTTCTGAAGACAGTTAAACTTGTCAGGTAGTGACGTCCAGCAGGTGAACATGCAGCTCCATGAACACGTGTGGATTCCAGCTGCTTCGATGTTATATGTATGATTTCTATACATTTTACATCAGATAAAAACTTTGGTTGTAAGATTTAGATAATTATTTAATAAAAGCGAGACATTTTAAATGAGAATAAGAAAGAAAAGTATTTCTTTGTGCCCCCCTCTTCCTGTCAATGCCCTACCTGCCCCCCTGGCAACACTTTGCTAGACTCGCCCCTGCACAGTTACCAGCTGTCAGCTGCTTAGAAAAGGATCCTGGTGTTATTTGTCTCTCAGAAACAGTTCATAACTTCAACTCATTCATGTCACCTAAAAGGTAAACCTGTTTCTCCATCACCTGTTCAGCTCTGATGATTCAGTAAGGACATCTCCTGGTTTCATCTTCATGTTTCCCTCTCACCACATATCTAAACCATATCATGACCAGCAGCTTTACAGCTGTGGCTCCAGCAAACATCAGCTGATACTAGAAATTAATATTAAATACATTCTAACAACAGCTGATCAAGCTTAAACGTGCTGCTGTTGTTTAGTGCGACAACCGCTGGTTTCCTCTTTCTGGTGCAAAGTGGGCGATAAACAAACAAGAGAGACGATCAGCTGATCATTGATCAGTTTCATGATTGAAGTAGCAACAGGAGAGGCAGGGGAGAGAATGAGAGAGGAAGAGGCAGCTGCAGCAAAGACACAGAATAACTCCAGCTTTGTGTCTTTTTCCATTGTAGCTGAAATCCGGGACAAACTGTGTTCCTTTTCACCTCAACACGAAACGCGTAATATTTTCTCTGAATACGAGACAATTTCGTCTTTTTACAGGACGGTTGGCAACTCTACTAACTAACCTTATGAATTAAATAAAGTTCACTATCAGTAACATCATAGCACCACCCAGCTGTATAGAAACTCCATCATGCTAGCTAGCACACAGTACGAGTTATTGTAACTGACTGCAAAAACTCAGCACAACAAAAATAAACTCCACCTCCCCTTTCTCTCATCCACCTGCTGGCCTCCACCACTTGCTAATGTTACTGAATCTGAGGAAGTGAATCTGATATGGCAGCCTCGCTTCTGTCAGTCTGCCCCAGGGCAGCTGTGGCTACAACTGTAGCTGCTTCTACCAGTGTGTGAATGTGAGAGTGAATGAATAGTGGCATTGTACAGTGCTTTGAGGGCCCCGAAAAGCGCTATATAAATGCAATCCATCATCATTATTATTATTATTGAGCACCGCCACAGCCACCACCAAACAACTGAGTTATTTTTACACACCGACCAGCATCTGGCCAATCCACCACCTTTCATTGTTTATGCCGTTACAAAGAAAAAAAAAAGTCACCGGGCCACCGAGCAAATGCCCGGTATGCCCGAAGTCTTTTCAAGTAATATTATAAACTCACCCTGTGCCTTTTCTTTCAGATTCACCATCAGAACGTGTGCCTGCTCCTGCACCTCCATCACCATTCATCTCCTCCTCACCGCTCACATACTCATCACCATCGCCTCTCCCTCCCCCGTCAATCTCTGTACCTTCTCCACCACCAGTCCAACAGAATGAGGAAGAAGTCAGTCTAAGTGATCTTTCTTCTGATCAGCATATGCAGCAATCCTCCTACCAGCAGGCTTCAACTGCAGCCACCTCCCCACCCCCCTCCACCTCGCCACCAGTCATCCCATCGTCACCGCTGTTCAACCTTCCCTTCGGCCAAACGACCCCGCCCCCATCCACCACACCTCCCCCATCATCCTCTGATCAGGATCAGGAACCTGAAGCTGGGTTGCCTTACTTTTCCACTTTATCCTCCTCACCCTCTTCATTGTCCTCTCACCCACCATCACCTCCAACGCCAGAGGAGGCCCCACAATCCCAGCGTCTTACCTCCCTTCACCTGGCAAAGAAGCAGGCTGATGCTGCCATCGCTGGGGAGAGTGAAGAAGAAGACAGTGAGAGTGGAGGTGAGGGAATCTTCCGTGAGCGGGATGAGTTTGTGGTGCGAACTGAGGACATTGGTACTCTTAAGGTGAGTCATGCCACAGGCCTCAGGAAGTATGTGTTCTGAATAGATAACTTACCAGCCATAATATATGCTGACTGTCTGTCTGTATCACTAGATGGCCTTGCAGACAGGCCGAGAGCCTCCACCTATCTGGAGGGTGCAAAAAGCTTTGCTCCAGAAATTCAGCCCAGAGATCAAAGATGGTCAAAGGCAGTTCTGTGCAACAAGTAACGTGAGTTTTTCAAAAAGACGTAGTTTATGTTTAAGGACATAAACTGTTGGTGGACAGCTCTGGGTTCAAAACAGTTCAACACAGACCTGGTATTGTTCCCAGAGCCAGTCTCTTTGATGCTTGACATTTTTCTCTTCTCAGCCTATTAAAACGTAACATTAAAGCAGTTTTCTGTAGAATGGATCATTATATTCTTTGCAACATTAGAATTTTTACAAATATATCTCTTTATGACATATTAATTGTTGTCTGTTCTCTCAGTATTTGGGTTACTTTGGTGATGCCAAAGTGCACTACCAGCGTTTATATGTGAAGTTCTTGGAGAATGTCAACAAAAAAGATTACGTCAGAGTGTGTTCACGAAAGCCATGGCACAGAGCTGGCCTGACTCTGAGGTAAGGCGAGAGAAAGACACTGAGTGGAAAGTGTAACCAGAACTGGCCTGCATCAAGGTTACCCTGGATTACCAGGCCCAGACTCCCCCCTCCCATAAAACTTGTTGATGAACTCTCAACACACATAGACTGTACCACACAAAAACAATTCAGTGACTAATTTCAACATTTTAATTAATCTATGTTTCATGTGCCTGTGCTTAAGACAAACACCAATTAAGTTAGTGTCTCTCCTCATGTCTACTGACTGACAGACGCCAGCCTCTACCTAAACAGCTGCTGACCATTCACAATCAGAGCCAACCTCGAATAGATAGTCGACACAAGGAGAGACGGAATGAAAGAGAGCTAATGGAGCAGAGAGAAAGAGAAAGAAGAGAGAGAGAAACAAGGAAAAAAGTAGAAAAGGAACATAAGGAAGGAGAAAGGAAGGAGGAGAGAGATTGCAAAGAACAAGAAGAAGAGAGGCACAAGAAAGAAAAAGATGGTGGAAAACAAAATGAGAGGGGTCACAGAGATGTGAAAATGGAAAGTGAGAGTGAAAGAAGGGAGAAGGAGAAAAAAGAAAGGGAACTTAAAGAGAGGCAGCAAAGGAAAAAGGAAAAACAGGATAGGGAGCAGAGGGAAAGGATGAACCAAGAGAGAGGATGGAAAGAAAAGGAAAGATCACTGAGAGAACAAAAAGAGAGGGAGAGGATAGAAAAGGAGAAACAGGAGAGAGAGAGAGAACAAAAACTTAGGGAGAGGGAATGGGGAGAGAGGCACAGAGACCAGAAGGACAGACAGCAGAGTGACATGGAGACAGATGGTGAGCCGAAAGAAAAGGAGAAAGCTCAGGAAAAAGAAAGAAAGGAGAACATGGAGCAAGTCAACAGAGATTATACAATGGCATTAAAAGAAGAGAAGAACCGAGGAGACATAAAGATGGCATTTCAGGGAAGAGCCAAGACTTCAAAGGACAAGGCTGAGCCTCCACCCAAGAAAAGGAAGAAATGGTTGAAGGCGGTGCTGTCCTCTTCATCTGAGTCCGACTACTCCTTACTCAGTGATGATGAAGGTCAGCTGTTCTTTGAGTGCATATGATGCACACATTTATTTTTAACCCATTGCCTTCAACCAACGATTACTGTGTCCAGGCCTCTGTGCAGCTGGTTTTGTGTTTTAGGGCCTGTGCAGGGTGGAGTGAACAGTCGAGCCATGAGGGACATGTTCAGGAGCTATGTGGAGATGTTGGTCAGCACAGCACTTGACCCTGATATGATTCAAGCCCTAGAGGACACAGATGGTGAGCACTCAGTTCAAACTACACTGTAGTCTTAAGTCAGAGAAAAGCATTCTCCAAGAAAATGGAGAATGCATGCATGTCTGAATGATTCAAAGATCTTTTGTAATATGCAAAGAAAAACAGAATGCAGTATTTGGAAATTTCACATTTTTATTCAGCATTTCAACACAAATCAAATGTTTAAACTGAGCCATTTTAGTATTTGGTGAAATATATTAGCTCATTTTGCATTTGATGGCAAAAACAGTCGTTGAACTAAGTAGATGGAGTTGCTATATTATTGACAGAAGAACGTTGACCCATTCTCTTCGGTGTTGTCCACCCATCCACCCATCCATCCATCCATCCATTCTCTTCCACTTATCCTTGTCAGGGTCGCGGGGGTGGGTTTGGGGTTGGAGCCTATCCCAGCTGTCTTAGGGCAAGAGGCGGGGTACACCTTGGACAGGTTGCCAGTCTGTTGCAGCGCTAACACATAGAGACAGACAACCATTCACACTCACATTTGCACCTATGGGCAATTTAGAGTTACCAATTAACCAATCCCCAATCAAATTAATTCAAATAAATCTTAAAGAGTACCTATAAGTTGTATGTGCAGAACAGTCCAAGGAAAACAATTAAAAGGGCAACTAAATCCAAGAGCCTGGAGAAACTACAGAAGGTGGAAAAAAAGCATAAAACACAGGGCTGACAATATGTGACAAAGACTAAGAGAAAGACAGCAACTATAAATATACAGAAGGGTGACTGGAGCAGAGATAAATCACCTGGGGAGCAGAGCTGCAACAAGACAGTGCACTCAAGACTAACTGATAAAACAGGAAGTAAGAAAGAACGGTTATACTAACATGTGAAAACTTAACAAGGCATGAGGAACACAGGGCAGCATCACACTGTAAAATCTAATTAGTTCCCAGAAATCAAAAAAACTATGCAAACTCATTGCCTTAAAAACACTAAGTAAAGCTTACTTATGACTGTTAGGACCACTCATTCATTGCAAGTATGCAGTACTAAGAATAACTTGATGTTTCTGACTGTGCAGTACTAATTGTTTACCCACTGACAAACATTTCAAGTTCAACTAAATTAAATAACAATTTGTGGTAACTTACTTAAAAAAAAAAATCACATTACAGGGCTCTAGACTAACTTTTTGCCACAGTTGCACTGGTGCGCCTAACTTTTTTTCTTAGGTGCACCAGCACAAAAGTTAGGCGCACCCAAATGTTTCAACAGCATCGCTTAAAACCAGTTTCACATGTGCACTTTTAAGGGGGCAAAATTGCTGTCCATACAGACAATATTCATTTGTAAATGATTAACTAACAATCTAACAAGACTAGAAAGGAGAAACTCAGTGCATCATGGGAATCCCCTGGCAGCCTATGTCTATTGCAGCATAACTAAGGGAGGATTCAGGGTCACCTGGTCCAGCCCTAACTATATGCTTTAGCAAAAAGGAAAGTTTGAAGCC